CTGAAAAATCCAAATTCAATTCAATTCAGTTTATTTATATAGATAACTACAACAAAAAGAAGCTTAAACTAACAGAAAGAAGTGGAAAAAGCTGAGATGAGTTAAAAAAATGTGGATTTAGCTGAAAAAGCTATACTTAGTCAAAAAGCAACTAAATTGTAGCTGAAATAGCAGAAAAAGATGAAACTAGCATACTTATGCTGAACAATAACATATTTCAGCTACACAGCAAGCTGAAATTAGCAGAAATTAACACACAAAAATAGAATTTATCTGAAAACAAAAAATAGCTAGAAAATGCTGGTAGCTGAAAATGTAGAACAAGCTTAAATTCGCAGAAGAAAGCAGAAAGGACACGTTTGCTAAATTAGTCTGAAAGAAGCAGAAATTAGCACAAAAAGTGGACATTATCTGATAAAAGCAGAAATTAGAAAGAAACAGTTGAAAAGTAGCTAAAAAGGCAAAAAGAAGCTGAAATTACCAGAAGAAAGTGAAGAGAGCACATTTTTTCTGAATTAAGTTGAAAAATGTTGAAATGAGTGCAACATATGTGGAAATAGCTGAAAAGACTTTAATTAGCATAAAACAGCTAAATAGTAGCTGAACTAGCAGCAAAAGCTTAAACTTGCAGAAATAAGCTGAAAGGAGCATAACAAGCTGAAATTAGCAGAAAGAAGTTAGAAGAAGCACAAAAATGTTGTAGTTAGCAGAAAGAAGCTGAAAGGAACACAAAGCAGCTGAAAAACAGCTGAAAGTAGCTTAAGCAGAACAAAATGTGAAAGGAGCAGTAAAAGGTTGTAAATTGTAAGAGAACCACCATCTGCAGCTCGTCTCTCCAAGATGGCCGCTAATTGCCACCAGCTGTCGGCCATCTCCCTGATGAGATCCCTCAGTACTTAAGGCTGCAGTCGAGTGCTACTCTTTGCTGGAGCATTATACTCTCCATGGTATTTATGTCTCTGGCTTGTTGTATTTGATGACTATCGAGATACTTACCTTGTTCTTTGTGCCTTCAGTCATCCTGCCTCCTTGGATTCTGTCCAGTCCTGCTCAGGTCTTGGTCCTGTTCCTTGTTCCTCGTGCCTTGCCCTCCAGCCACTTGCCTGCCCTGCCTGATCGTCCATCTCTGGAACCATCTCTGGATTCACCTCGGCGCTCCACCTCGACGTCCAGAGCTGTAAAGAGAATCAAACAAATCGATCTCTACATTCAACCCCAACCTGTAGACCCATCTGACCTTGTCCTTTCTCTTCAGGGGTTCCAGGAGAGCACCTATAAATATTATCACTTTGTACATAATAAACACCGTTAGACCTTTTATCTTGGAGTCTTGTCTCGTACAAATCTGTTTTCCTCGAGATCATTACATAAACAGATCTAAAGATTTGAAGGGTGTAAAATTAGCTCAATTCATGTTCTATGTAGGTAACTGTTCATGTAAAGTGCCCTGAGACAACTTTGTTGTGATTTGGTGCTATATAAATAAACTGAATTGAATTATTTCAGTTTTTCCCTCTTCAGCCACAGCGAGTCCTCCTCCTCCATCTCACTCTGTCCTCTGCATCCTCTGTCCTCAATCCAACTACCTCCACGTCCTCTCTAACTGCATCCATATATCTCATCTTTATCTTTTTCCTGGCAGCTGCATTTCTAACATCCTTCTACAAATATACCCACTGTCCCTCCACTGGACATGTCCAAACCACTGTCCCTCCACTGGACATGTCCAAACAATCTTGGAATAATAACAGGATCACATTAGTGTGAGCTTCATAAGCATTCACAATAAATAAACTCAGAGTTTAAAATCAGAGTTTCAGGCTCTGCTGTTTCATGTTTTGTTCTTTTTTTCTTTTACAGACAAAGATCAAACTGACAGAGTCCTGTTGGCGGCTGAAGCTTCTGACAGAAGCGTGCTCGCTGGCTGCAGGAATGGCTGCTATGAAGCCCGACCCGTGAGAACATTTCTACAGAGAGAGAAAAGAACAAATCTGACAGCTGCCTGGAAACCTGCCAGAGATGAAAGAGATGTAGAGTTTCCTCATGGGGCCGTCATTAAGTGTTGGGCAACACGGCTGCGGTGTTAAAAAAGAATAAATGTTTAAAGAGCGAGTGGAACCAGAGTCCAGTGGAGCTGCAGGTCAGCACAGGCCTCTACGTCCATCAGGAGAGCAGAGGGGAAAATCTGAATGAACCGAAGAACATCTGTTCTGCTCAATTAAACTTTACTGATGGAAAGTTTACATTTTAAATATTTAATCAGATAAAACTGCTGAGTGAGCAGATCCTAAACATAGAAGAAAACGATAAATGTATTTCAAAATGTACATTTAAACAGCTAACAATCCTTAAAGGACTGAGAACATCTCATGCTGCGAAATGAGCCGTTTTGGTCAAACCTTAAAACATAACACGTTCTCATGTGAAAAGTCCCCCTCAGTGTGTGTGTGAGGGTGATTCTCAGCTACTACCACACCAAATCTTAGCTCAGCACTTGTAAAATTGATTGAGTTATAGACAATTTTGCGTTTTTATTTTGTTTAATCATTATTTATACAGGTTAGTTTCACTGAGTCAAGAGGACTCATTTTCAAGAGAGACTGGTTTTACTATAAGGTGCCGGCCCTGGGGATGTCACCATGCTGCTAACAGTACCATGCTCGCAGGACCATGCTGCTGACAGAGTCATGCTGCAAGCAGGACCACACTGCTAACAGGACCACACTACTAACAGTACCACACTGCTAGCAGGACCACACTGCTAATAGGACCACACTGCTAACAGTACCACACTGCTAGCAGGACCACACTGCTAACAGGACCACACTACTAACAGTACCA